ATTTTTTTTTTCAAAGAGTACTGTTTGGCATTGCATTTCATCCCTTAATAATGCATTAAACACTGAAGTTCAAAAAAACGAATCTGACTTTTATACTACGGAAGTCGCAGCCATTTTCAATGCTTTATACCCCCATGATTAATAAGACAGTCAGGTTTTTATACACATGTTTCTATGCATATGCATTTTTGCACATATATAAATCGACTATTCCTTTAAAACTTTTTAATTACAAAAAACTTTTTGAATACAAAAAGTTCCAGTCTTGTATTCCACCATATTTCAAGATGAAGTCCACGCCTTATATTTCTTTCAAATATACATCGATTATTTCTTCCACACTTTTTTAATTAAAAGAAGCTCTACAGTGCTTAGATATCGAACATCTGAAATGAAATATGTGGAGATAACGAACAGTATTCGAGCTCAAAAGTCCATGGAACATTAAAAAATAGGAGCAGAGCAAACACGGACCTCTAAGACATCATAGGTGGGATCAGGTGCCATGGAGGAGTGAGCATCACCTGCCGACCGGTCACACCCGTCGTGTGCTCCTTGTCATAATCGGAAACAATCCTCCAACGTGTTCATGTTCTTCTCCACTCTACTACAGTAGTCCTGCTGGACAGGTAATTACTGGTGACATAAATCTAGTTAATAATGATGACCTTTAATCACTTATGTTAAAGGGGTCGACATTTAGGGAAAACCGACCTTTCAATTGGCAGCATAAATATTATGAATTCTGTAGATTATGCCAGGTGATGGGCTAAACATGACAAAGATCTTGACACTTTTTCAGAATGGATTAAAAGTATCAGATGGATGTTGAAATCTCGCATAAAGCGACTGAGGGGCAATATGAAAACCATCTATCCTTCTGTCTTCAGTAATTCAGAAGTGAAAAAAAGAATTAGTTTGATTACACGATCAATATGTACTAGTCCCAGCTGACAAAGCAGATGACAACATTGCTTTTGTTTGTAAGACTCATTATTTGAATTGTATTTTAGAGGAACTGGGATTGAATTGTGCAAGTAATAATCCAACTTATACCCATGGCTCCATTTCTAAGGAGTAAATTCTTCCAAATCATATGTCGGTTTGAAATATTTTTTTATATTCCTGACAAATTGAATTTGAATTACCATACGTATACTGGATTCCTGAACTACATAAAAATCCTTACAAACAAAGCTACATAGCGTGTTACAGTAAATGTTCTACCAAACCTCTTTCTTTACTCCTCACTAAAATATTAACAGCAATGAAGGAGAAAGTTCAGGAGTACTGTACAACAATATATATTTGAGAGGTGTGTAAATCAGATTTTGATACTTTTAAGGCTGTTTGATATCATTGACAGCTGCTTTTTCAATAAAAATTGAACTTGTTAACTTACTTACCCTGTCACTAGTCATTTGCAAAATTATTTTGTTAAATAGCAGTCTGATTACACACGTAAGTACTTCGACTCTTATATTAAAAAGATGCTTGAGTTTCTGATTGACAATATCTATGTAGTTTTTGGTGATCAAGTCTTTCTATAATCTGTCGGAATTCCCATGGGTACCAATTGCGCCCGGTTATTAGCATACCTATTTTTATATTCACATGAAGTAGAAATTATTTTTAAAAACTTATACACGAGAAGAAAAAAAATTGTTGTTGCCTTCAACTCGACAATTAAATATATCGACGAAGAATTACCAATTAACAATAGATACTTCCATTCATATGTCAACCCGATTTATCCCAGTGAACTTGAAATAAAAAATATCACAGAGTCGGACACATGTTCCAGATTTGGATATTTTACCAGAAAGAAGACTTTATTGGTTACCCAACAACAAAACTTTAAGTTAAACGTGATGACTTCAACTTTCCTATCGTCATCTTCCCTTTTTTATGAAGCAATATACCCTTATCACCTGCATATGGAGGCTATTTTTGTCCCAGTTCATCCAAAATACAAGAGCATGTTCTACGTATGAACAATTTTTAAAACGAGGCAAACTGTTGATAAATAAGTTGATAAAACAAAGATATCAACAGTCTCGTTTAAAGTCAACAAGTTCTATGGTCGATACAATGAATATGACAACAATAAAAATTATCGTTAATTCGAACGCTGACTGATGTTTTTCATACTAATTGTTAGGCCTTTATTTACACATTGAATTGTCTACGGATTTTTTCCGTTTGCCCGATAATGACGACGAACCCACGGAGTTTTTGACCATTCGACATGGGATGCTTATTCCTCCATGACACATGATCCCACCTCTGATGTTTTTAGAGTTCCTTGATCACTCTGCTACTCTGCACACAAAATGGGTTTTTTTTTTCAATGGACTTTTGAGATTAAATACTGTTGGTTATCTCCGTATTTCAATCTTTTCTTTTAAAATGTATACAAGTATATTTTTGTTATATTTCGAGAACGTGCGATCTCTTTTTTTAAAAATCCTGTCCCATGTATTGTTTCGCCTTTTTTGATGATCTTCTTTTTCCTCTAAATTCTCTTTTTAAAAACCTTTTGCGCATATGCTCATAAAATGCTCATAAAACAGTTCTTAGTATTTGAAAAATGTAGTGTAATTCTTTGATCTCAAAGAATGTAATACCTCATTGTGGGAAAAAGGCATGATAATTAATACTTATTTCATTTTGTGGCAAAATGATATTATTTAGGAAAATTATATGGCCATTATGTATGTTACTTCTGCTCATGTTTATTGATTGGTTTATATTATCTGACTGTTAATATTTATGACTTCTCCGTCGGGAGGGGGCAATGGTTTTGACATGGCTGTCTTTCTTTGTCTCCCTCATGGAAAGACCAAAAGTCTCGAACCCTCGGTTTTAATGAACTCAACCTTCATTATAATGTACTCCATACTATGCTTTTGACTTTTTTGTTTCTCATAAATGTTTTTTTTAAATTTCAAATCAATCTCACGAAATACGTTGATTACTCTGGATGTCAACAGATTAAATAATACAAGTGTTGATACGGTCGCCCGTGGCGCATGGTTAGAGCGTTTGCTCTAGAGTCGCGGAGTAAAGAGTTGATCCTTGTGTCGCGGGTTCGAATCACACTGTGGGACGTGGAGACCGGTCCTTCGGATGAGACCGTATAAACCGAGGTCCCGTGTCGCAGTAGGTGCTGGCACGAAAAAGATCCCTCACTGCTCAATGGCCATGAGTGCCGAGCATAGGTCAAAATTTGCAGCTCTTCACCGGCAAGTGGTGGCGTCTCCATATGAGTGAAAAATTCTTCGAGAGCAACGTTAAACAACAATTCAAAAACAAACAAACAATCGTTGATACTGAAAAGCTTTGTCAAAGATGCATTTATTTGTTTAAAAATACCTTGATTAAGCTAAGAACATTTCATTTCAAGTAAGTTTTTATTACACTGCTGTGAGTTACGGTAGGCTGCATTGTTTCTCCCTTAGATAAGCATGGTTATCACATTTTAGTAGGTTGCTGAATATTAATTTCTAATTACAAGTATTTCCGGAATTGCCAAGGGAAGGTTTTCTTTACGAACAAGTATACCTTTAACAGCATTAAAAAAAAAAAAAAAAAAAAAAAAAAAAAAAAAGATCATCAGTAGGCCAATACGTTGTGATTAAGTTGAATTACGTCGCGTATTAGTTTTGTTATTTTATGTGTAAATAATTGTAAGTATATCCTTAGTTTGGTTCCAAAGTTGAGAGTGTTCGTGAATAAGACTATTTTTAGTATAACTGGTTAGATCAGGGAGAATCGTTGCTGTTTGTCATGTGTGCGGATACGTATTGAATTTGTCCTGTAGTTGAGGTCCATGGCGAATTCCAGAAGTTACACTGGTAAACGGATAGCCAGGAAGTCGGTAATTTATTTCTCCAGCCAGTAAGATATTTTTTGTTGATATATTTTTGTGGGTTTTGTAGTAAATTTACTGGGTGTTTTGTCTGTTATTACTATTCTTAGTTTGAGTGAGTAGGGTATAGGTTGTATACTAAGTAATTATTGTTTCAGTGCGGAGGGGTTATGATTATAAATCCGGGGCTAATGTAGATTTTAGGACCTTCATGACATAATGTCTTACTCTATTGTCAGTATTAGGTGAGGAATAGTGTTGTCCTGACCCTGTGTGTATCTTTGTGTGTTTGTAAAACACCTATAACGTTGTCATTCAACATTAACGATTGTGAGGTAAAAAATATATGTTTATTGTTTCAAAACATGGACAAAAACTATGTACGTCCAATACAGTGTATTTCATTCTAAAAACCATAAACAATGTCTTAACATCTATAGATAAAATGACTATATGCTAAGATATATAGAGTCAAACAACATTTGAATCGAATATTGCACCTATATTTAATATAATTTTCGCGATTTAAGTATATTATTTTGCATATGAACCATAAAATGAGCAAAATTCTTTTGAATCTCTCCTTAACAACTGAAATATGTTATGTTATCTTCCATATGCAGAAAAATAAACAGAACATCTAGTTTATTTTTTTGTTTTTTCTGCCTTTTATTTTTTGTTTGTTTGTTTTGCTTTTGTTTTCTTTTTTTGTCGAGCTGATTTTGCTTCTCGTATACTGGATTTCAAAAAAAAAAAAAAAAAACAAAAAAAACAAAAAAAACAAAAAAAAAAAACACGATTTTGTATCCATAATAATGCAGCCGACTCCAACACATTTTTCAAACTATTTTCAATTTAGAACAGTGTATATGTTACGAATATTCGGAAGAACTAGTGGTGTATGTATGCGACCTGAGGCGGATTTCTTGTGATTTTGTAGCGAAATACACTATTATACATCCTATCCATTATGGAGTCTATCCGACGAACATCACAAATGGGATACATTCTAAGCTTAAAGGATTGATCTCTTCATGAGTATTTTTGGAGAAATATGACTATATAAATATAGAATATGTTTGAACTGGAGGAAATGAGATCAATTGTGCTTCAATACTTAGAATGAGTTTTAAAGATAACATGATTCTGCACTTGGTACATTTTTTCCTTGTTCAGTTTGCTGACTACTTGACATAGCTTCATTAGAATTAACTTCGTCTTCAGAATCCTCCTCATCGTCCAAAGAGTTTTCCTTAGTCTTTTCAGAGACCTTATCTAATATGCCTGTCTCAATGGATGGAACAGCATTTGTATCGCCGCTTTTCATAGAGATATCTTTAACATGTTCATGGTCCGTATTTTCAAGATGTTTTTGTTTTTCCTGGGCCACTACAACTTTGGCAATAGAGGCGAACCCAATTCTGCTTGTTCTTTCTGTTGGAGTATCTTTCAAATTATCCTCTACCTCGGTGTTTTTTCTCGATACTTCCAGTGTCTCTTCTAGATGTTTTTCATTTTTATGTGTCAAAGCAGCTTTAGCAACAGACGCAAAACTAACGCCTGTCTTACCTTGATGGAACACGGATGGGACTACTGAGTCATCATCCTCAGTAATTGTGTCCATTAATTTTTCTTCGTTTTCTTCTAGACGTTTTCGATTTTCTTGAGCCACTGCAGCCGTAGCGACTGAAGCAAATCCAACCCTGCTTGTCCTCCCGGGTTGCCCTTGGTTTTTAATTTCTGTGTAAAGTTTTCCTTTTTCGTAAATTTCATTCCATCGACTTTCTATTCTTTTCTTCTTGTTTAAGGCTGTAGCCCTTCTTTTAATTTCTTGTGTACGGGCTTGGTTTTCGGCTATTGTTCTCACTGTATGGAGCGTCTTTCTATTGAACCTATTCTTTAAAAGTTTCTGAACTTGGGATATTTTCTCATCATGTACATTAGAATTACTTTCTTCGTGTATACCTTTCGTACTTGCATCATCTCCTTCTTGTAAGGCTTTTGTAAATTTATCAAGATTTTCTGCAAAATTTACTCGTAGTTCTTGCGGTTGTTTGCTGGTCCTTTCTCGCAATCTTCTAGTGTATCTTTTCCACATCTCTCTGGTTTTATTTCCGGAACGTGTATAAGAGTCCTCGCTAAAAGTTGTTTCTTGGGACGCAATAGATATTGTGTCATCTTCCTTAACAGCCTGAAGTTGTTTTACAACTTCCAATCCTTCTTCTACACCGATATCTGTGGAACCCTGTTCTTTTGGATAAAACCAATCCTGTAATTTCTTACTCAAGTTAAATTGTGTAGAGGCAGCGATATGGATGAATGTAGACATACGATGCATAAGCATACAGATGAACTGTAAGAATAACATGATTCCAAATATAGCTGTAAAAGCAAATGATATCGGTTCAATATAGCCTCGGCCCGGTCGTCCTCCCTCTACAGTACAAGGAAGTTTGATGGAGAGTGTTTGGTTAGTAGTGGCGTTGACCTCCGTAAGGACGTAAACAATTGTCACGAAAAGGGCATTCATCAATAGAAATCCGAGACAAACTTTGTTTCTTAATTCGATGAGACCATGTTGCATCTGTAAAAGGAAAATCAGCACATGTAAATTAATGGTTTGTCAGTTGTTTTGTTTTTTTTAATTTTAAGCAAGTGTTCTTACATTTGAGATAAAATATTGAATTTTTAATAATGAAAAGAAACATTAAATTGATATATGCAAAAGCATATATACTAGGCTTGTGATTCTTATATGTCTTTGCCTTTACTTCTAGGTGGTAGTTGACAAATATTATCAAAAGATGTTTTTTAAGTAAATATTTCTGCCGATAAAAAATATTCATGCAATTAAAGGGTTGTCTAAAATGAAATAAGTGTGATATTACTAATACTAACTGAGATATTCCAGCGCTAAAATATGCCCTCATAGCATCATAAAATGACAATGACTTAACCTGTTTCTCGTGTTCTTTATCTTGGGCTAGTGGTTGTAGATATTTTGGTATAAATTCTTGCCAAAATGCCATTTCATCCGTTTCAAGAGATTTTCTCGCACATGCTTTCAAATCTTCGTCACTTATCCAAGAATCCGTTGCCTCTTTGTTTTTGAATTCTCCTTCATCATTAAACATGGGATTGTCTACAAAATGAATGCATTAACTGAAATACATAATTCATTGAAAATTCAAGTGGCAATTATTAGTTTTGAGATATTTTTTATTCGTAATGAACTTCATTTAAGTTCAAAGTATATAGATGATATACTTACCTCTAACGACAGCTCCGTCTATCATAACATTCTGTTTCGTGAAATGAAGTTCCTCCGCAGACTCTAGATTTCCTAAACTTTCTTGTTCGGGCTCCCGTGAATCTTTAGAGATCTGAGCTTCTATGTCGTCAAGTCTGTCAAGTAAGACTTGGAATAATCTTTCATTTGGCTTCTTAGTTGGGCAGCATCTGAGAGTAAATTAAAGGATTACAGGATTGCATTTGTACTTAAATAACACCACAGAAGTTTCTTTAACCTGGGGTAGATATATCTAGGGATTGATACCCCTCAACTAAATTAATTGTGATTTAAATTCAAGACACGTGGTCTTGGTTAACATATTCGATGTTATAGGATAGAACTGGTTTTATAAATAAAATTGGCAGTAAACAGTAAATTGCTATAGTCCGTTTCTTTCAAATACGTGTGTCATGAAAAAAATTTCATAATTTTAAGAAAAGGGGGGGGGGTAAAATCATATGCTACTTAATCTACGCTTTTGTGATAATTTACGGCGAAGATTGGAGCTCGTAGAGACAATTTTTTCCAAAGTCGCTAATAGGCTAACAGAAAAAATTGTAATATCTGCTACGATGACAAACCTTTGTTTACCTTATATGGCTATTGTTATTTATTGCACTCAGCGGATATTACAACGAATAATTGTCCAATCATCGAATGTTGGCATACTGGCCTTCTACATGTCTAGACTTTATTTCGAACACGTGGTTCAGGTTAATGTACGATATTACATGGATTGCGAGATTTTTTTTAATACAAAGATGAGAAACTAAAAAGATGTCCCGGTCATACTCTCAATAAGACAGGAAGTGGATTTTCACTTCATAACTTGATATTAGTTGTAACTAATTGTTTCATCTATAAAATGCATGAAAAAATAATCACTGTGCTATTCCAATTGAAAGTAGATTTGGTCTTTTCCAAGCGTAAGATTCCTGTGGTATTCGTGCTAACCCAAATGCAATTCAACCCATTCAGCTGATTTTGGGGTTTTAAGTCATGTTGGTACCTTATTTACCATGTAAATTTAGTCTGACGCCAGAAAATATAGTTCCTATGCAAGCATGTTTGTTCAAAAACAAATTTTAATACATAATTTCATAAAATTATGTCACAAGGAATATTTATTGAAGAAGTTTGAATGAATCCTAGAGAGGTTTAAGTACATATCCACTGATAATTATGCAAAGGTGAAAACTGAAGCGTAACAGTTTTTTTTTTCTGATTACTAGTCACTTCCTAACTACTCTTTCCTGAATAATTTACCTCATCCAACAACAGTCTCTCTGTAGCCTCAGTAAATCTCGCCAGAGCTACTGCGAACTCCTCGGGTATTATAATTTGCAGAACAACGAAATATAAAAGATTCCAAACACATTAGTAGGGTGTGTGATAGATGAAAAGAATTGATGGACAGAAAAAAATTGCAATAAATTGCATTGTAATGCATTAAGCAGTTCTAGATAATTTAAGCCTGGTTGTAACACGCTATTTGGTTGGCAGAGAAAGGTTTATAAAACCTCTGTAGACAGCATAAAAAATGCGTAAAAATTCATCAATCGGCTTGAGGTTGTGTTTAGATTTTGTGTATTTATTTGTACACAATAATCTGGCTATTTCTTATTTTTTTTCTTCACTTAATAAATGGTAAAAGAGAAACAATACATCTTTGTACCTGGTGAATTTTTTTCTTCACTTAATAAATGGTAAAAGAGAAACAATACATTTTTGTACCTGATGAATTTTCCACATGAAAAAAGATAATCAGATTTTCCGCCATTTATTCCAAAGCCAAGGGTTTCCACAAGAGTTTGGGATTTTGTTTTGCTATCCTGTAAGATGACTTTTGTGGGTGTCTGTTGTGGCTGTGTTTCCTTGGTTTCTCTTGTTCCCCAGGACACCACATGAAGGTTGCCGAGGGAGTAGATCATTAGCAGCATCGACATGGACGGAATGGATAGGAAATAAATGAATCCATGAAGGACACAATAAAATTCCTGGATAAAAAATATATTATGATAATTATAACTTAAAGTTAAAGTGTTGATAAAGTTTTTATTCAGATGAAAACTGTACATTTATATGCAATTCTTATATAGATAATTATTTCTTTTTAAGATTATTTACAAATAGATCATTTCACTGTAATGTTTTACAGGTAAATTCATATAAACATATTATCAACTCAAAAATACACGAAGTTTTTAATTTGTAGACAGAAATTAGGAGATCGATTAATTGATTGATTATTGCTTAACGTCAAGTCGGCAATATCTCAGGATATTTCGGCGGAAATTAATTAGGAAATAAAACGTCTCAAAAGAAATAAATACTTAATGATAAATTTTTAAAGATATTTTTTTTTTAGAACTATTTGATATTTACCGTTGCATTAGCAATACAAATGAGAATATTCTTGTAGTGGTGACCTACAGTTTTCAAATTTGCCAAGATGAATTAGGCAATTTTAGTAAAGTTTTTATATTCATGAATTATAACTTACTTTGGAGTACTTAGTTTCTCCCCTTCTTGCAAGAGTAACAGTCGAAAGGCAATTAGTGTGTTATGAACCGTTCTTTCTGAAATCTCTTCCATATGTCTTTTTATCCGTTAAAACATTTTAACCAATTTCCTCATACTGCGTCCTAAAATTTCCCTGAATTGCTTTATATTGAGTTTCGGCTGGGATTGTTTCCCGACCGTGTTAAGACAATGTATTGTCTTGAAGAAATTCTCTTGTGCTCATCAGAAGATACTGATAGATGTTAGTACCAAACGTGCCTTTCTATTATTTCTTGAAAAACTGTTTTCATGTATTATATAGCAGCATGTATTTTAACTCAGTAAGTCCGAGAGAGTTCTGCAAACGAAATGTAGTTTCTACACTTTTGTTGTCCTGAAAGAATCTTGATTCAAACCAGCATAAAACCATTTGGAAACAAAAACGAATACTGGACCTTACTCAAATATGCTTATGAATTATGCTTATGAAGTAAAAGATATGTGGTTCTCTAGCGATCTCTAATGACGATCAATTCCAGAAAAGTTCTACAAAAAAACTTGGTTCATAACATTCCTAATTGCATTAAGGTTGTTATTCGTGTAAAAAGCGAGCAACTAAGTTCTACAAGGAAAATAATCAATCATGAATATAAAAACGTAACTAAATTGCAAATATTCGTCGTATTTTTTGTTTGCGCCATTGTTAAAAAGCAATATTTGTATTTCCAAAATGGACATTTAATCACAAAATCGTTCTGTCAAATTAATTTGAGCTGTATATATTGTTGGTTTTTGTTTTATCCACAGAATAACATCTTAGTCATTGCATTAGACAGAACTACAAAAATAAGCAACAGAATACATGAGAAAGTATTGCAATGTGAAGATCTTGCTAAAAATTAAAGAATTGAAATAAGTTAATGTGGGTAATGTATATAATGTAAAGTTTTTGAATAAACCTTACTTAAATACAATGATATAAAACTTAATTTCGAGAAAATCTTAGCAAGTGCATTTTATTCCGATAAAGAAAATCATTAAATAGCGACAAATACATAATCGGTGACATTAGCCCCCAAGACTGCTGAAATAACAATACATTTATATATTTAAATTATTTTAAATAATTTAAAGCTTTACCTGAGGATGAACTATGGCTGAAACAAGGAAGACACCGACGACGAATAAAAGAAACAGGGTTGTGACAGAACAGAACCCAGCTGTGGCGGCCTCCACTAACAGTCCGACCAAGACCACCATCATAAGCAAAGAATAGATGGTCGAAACAACAGCCGCATAGGCTAGCTTTTAAACAAAAAATAATAAAACAATGAATGCCCCAAAATATATAGAGGAGCAGATTTCCAGAAGACTTGCATTGCTAGTCAAGTGAGTAAAATAATTACCTGGAAGTTCGGTTTTGCAGTAAAACACAGTATAACCATTCCAGTAACAGGTACAAGATTGATAATCATCCCGGCAACTGGTGGTATAGCAGGAAATGCCATACTTATTGCTCCGAGAATCATCAGAAAAATTGTTCCAGGAGTTAAAATGGAGCAAATCATCAAAAACATCTGATACAGTATATATAACTTAGAAATGTCTTCATTTTTTCTTGTAACGTTTTTCCAATCCATAAGAAGATCCAATACATTTGCCATCGTTGAGGGAGACCATCTCCTGCGCTGGTTGTAAAATTCATTGAAAGTTTCTGGTGCATATGTTAACGCATCACTGGCAGCAACATACTCCACTCTGTATCCTTGCTGTAGTAATAAAGTGCATAGCCATCGGTCTTCTCCTGAAAAATATTCAACAAGTTTGGAAACACGATCTTTTGGTGATATCTCCACTTTAGCAAATGATTCATATAGTTAACATTCTATCTTGGATTTCAAACTTTGTTCTTGTTTCCTGTAATATTTACATCTTGCATTTGAAAATCTAGGTGTCAAGTATTCATTAAAAATGTAATGTGAATTCAGCAAATATAAAATATTATAGAATTCTATGAAGGTATCCATTACGTTAACTTTAATAAATTTATCGTTAAAAAAGCCAGCACCTTGATCATACTGAACATAGTGATGTGGTTCTGTTGGACGTGTTGTATATCGTGCCATGACATTGTCGTCCATGAGGGAAGAACCACGAAACAGACTGAAACAGCCTGGGCTACAAAGTACACATCCTAAAACGTTCTCTGCTGCTTTCTGAAGCCAATGACTGACTGCATACTCGAATTTCTGGTACCATACCATAGGACCTTTTTGAATGGAATCATAAGATAATGAATACTATGAAATCTTATTTTTTTAAATTTATGGTAAGAGCAGTCGTGTTTCATTTTAGTTTTTGTCAAATACAGTAGCTACCTGTTCCTATTGGATGGATTCGACCACAAGCTGCACCAACGTCTGGATTCTTTCGCATTCTATCCACAAGGAGCTGAACAGCTTTGGGTTGGAAGTCCACGTCACCATCTAAGGCCAGAAGAAACGTGTTTTCTGCAATTGTCCTTTTTTGTCTCCTCGTCTTTTTCGGAATTTTCATCAATTTATAAGCCAAAAAGTAATACATATACATCACCTGAAAACAGGTTGAAAAACATAAGAAAAATAATGAAACACTGTTGATAAATACATAGGAAATCCGATATCTATGTTCATTTTGAAAGTATCAAATTGTTGGGTTTTTACTACTGAGTAATCAAAGTTAAGCAAAGCATTTGCAATTTATTTAAGATTACTATATCAAACAATAAATCAACAGACATTATCCCTTATTTATTATCCAAATTTCTCTTGTTTTGAACATTTTCTCTATATTTGGTTGAGGGATTCCAAGTACCTGACTCCATCTTTTTCTGTGACGTATTTTAGTTTTGTCCTTGAGATGGGCAATGAGGTTGTTTCCACCCGGAAGATTCCATTCTAAACGCCCTCCGTAGGGGGTCTCAGTACAACTCGGTGGAGGAATTGTTTGTTGCCTTCCGTATACAGATCTTTATAGAAAAGCAATAATACATTTATTATGTTGAAAAATGTTTTACTCTTTATTTTGAGCAAATAAATGTAAAATTTTGTAAGGTAATTTTACTTTTTTCTCTGATATAAGAAAGAAAAGATTAAATTTTGTTCCTTTTGTTAAAATATAACATACCGAGCTGATATATGTATGGAATTGATCAGTTGTTTCACGTAGCTGTTGACTTTGTATCGTCCTTTGCTATCCACACGTGATTCAAAAGCATCGTCGAAGAAAATATGAGCTATATATATATATATATATATATATATATATATATATATATATATATATATATATATATATATATATATATATATATATATATATATATATATATATATATATATATATATATATATATATATATATATATATATATTGAATAAAGAAAATCTGCTTTATATTATCAAAGAAATAGATGCTTTATCTGCCGCAAGAGTGATGAACTACTTTTAAAAAAGAAATAATTACGAAATGTTTAAGATGACTGGTTTGTTACATATTTCATTTCGAATAGGACCCATGCATTGTTAGAAAAGTATGGCTTTTGAAAGCATAAATTGTCTGAGTAGATAATCAAGACAGAAGGAAAAGATCATTATGACATGCTTGTACTTATTTTTCTTTTATCTCCTTAAACAAACAGTGCTTGTCGAGTAGGAAATTCGTTTCACACCACAGAGTATTATGTACTTGTCTGTTGCGGAATGCCTTTATGGATTCTGATTGACTAAAATGTTGTTTCTTTAGTCACATCGGGAATATTTCGTACAATATTTATATGGAAAAAAGGAGAAATACTTCTGCCCTCTGGCTGATATTGATGTCTCGGGCTGATACAGGATGTGATATGGAAAAGGGTATGTATCATTCTCTATGTACTAGGTATACATTGACCAACAAGTAAAATACTCTTGAATGCCGAGAATTTTTTTCCCATCGTAATAAATAAGCGAAGGCTACAGACCATATCACCTTAGGTAGTTTACGCTACCAAAAAATCTGAATAAATATTTTCTTTAAAACATTAATCCCTTTTTCTCTACATACCTTCAAATTCATAGTAATCTGGATCCTTAATTCCTAATCCTGTCTGCACATTTGTTCTTGCACATTGATCAATGTCTTGTCTACAATATATCTGACATCAATTACGATCCTAAATTTTTCGTTTCCTGTGATGAAATCAGTAATTTTACAATTCTAATCGTGTTTACCTGAAAATGGACTTAAGTATCTGCACCATCTCAGTTTCCGATTCGTGCCACATTGTTGCACACATATAGATCATTGGCGTATCATCTTCTCGGAGAATTGACCAATTCTTTTCTTCAGCATTATCATCATTGTTGTCAGGGAGTGGAACTTCCTTGGTTTCTTTCTGATTTCAAAATAAAAGTTGTTTTTTTCATTTCTGTTTGGCGTGTTTCTATTTCCTATTGTTCTCATTTTAAAACCATATTAAGATTCCATGTAACTGTGCTTTCTATCATTCATAATATCAATTAAGTATCAATTATATCACAATACGTCTTATATATCATTAATTAATTTTTTTTAATAGATCAAGCATAATTTTCATAAAGCAAATACTTCAAAAATCTTGTTAGTCTAATATACGCACGTGTTTTTCAATCTTTAATTCTTTGTCAATCCTCCTACGGTTTAGAAATAAAGCCTGATCTAGGAATGCACCACAGTACAATGCACGAACAAATAGACTGCAAATATAGTATAATATCAAATGCCTTTACCTGTAATGATAAAAATAATGATAAGCAACATATTCAATTTTCTTTAAACTTACCGATCTGTTGGAATCAATCGCTCCTTGTTTGGCGCCCAGATGTGATTAGAAATTACCAGAAAGGATAAAAATCCCAAAATTCCTGCGACAAGTGCAGGCCAGTAAAATTCAATAAGCTTAAAGAGAATCGATGGATCGACATTGTTATTTGAACCATATGGTAGTGGAAAAATGCATGTTCCAATTGTCCACGTTTCTGAAGCAGGGATTTCAGGATTTAGGGTATGAGAGTATATTCCGAAAAATAAGCCAAAAACAGCTGGGGTAGAGAGGACGATTGGCAGAGCAAAACAGAGTTTCTGGGCCAGAATTTTACTTGCTGCCTTTACACATTTGTAGCAGATAATGCTAGATATAACGTTTACTAAAGATACTATATATGGTAGGTACGATACACATCTGTCTCCATATTGTCCATTAATGGTGAGATTTGTGGAGGCTATACGTATAATTTCAGCTTTTCCTGTTGGTTCAAAGAAAATCGTTCTAATACAAGCCTCTCCGTCCTTGCAGCTGCCCCCAAACAAGACACTTGGCATTATTATTAGGGTTAAAATTATCTTCCATAAATTTGTGATGATCCCAATTCTTACTCTTTCTTTTCTCATATTCTTTTGAAAAATGGGAAAAGAAAACTGTGCATTTGTTTCTGCTGAATTTGAATTAATTTTACTGATTTTATCTGACTCCGGCTGTGAAACAAAATTTTCCCACCATGAAATAGATATTAAAATCGGGGAAAGAATAACCAGAATGATCAAAATAATAGAGTTGTTAGTGTTGGACAGAAAAACATAGTAACTCCATAGTCCTATGGAACCTAACTGACACAAAGCAGCTAATGTGTTGATAGCAACTTGGGCAGTGGAGACCCTTTTTAATAGCTTTTTATTGTTTTGGGGGTCTCTCGAAGGAAAAATAATTTTGAGAATTCCTGGAATCATAGATATACTGAAACATAGGATGCATGCTGTGATTGGGTCAAAGCTCGGTAACACCACCAGTGTAAAAGTACATAGTCCAATCGAATGCAGTGTTTCAGTGAAAAACGCCTGCAAAAGAAAAAGAAATCCTAAGCTTTTAGATCTGCCAAGTATTACACTATTACGTATTAATCCACATAACTCAATACGGTTATATATATTTACCACCAAGAGAGTATTCCAATGGAGAGACCATGTATTTTTAAAGAGTAGAACCCAGGTATACTTAAACACTGTGAAAAGGTACGGTGCAGAGATTGTGATTAACATCCCCCATATCCAGTTGATGTCGGTGAATTTGCTTGAGTATGACAGAGTTCCACCTAAACTTTTCAGTCTAGTTGCATTAGTTGCAGGGAATATATTAGCAGTCATTACAAGAAATGTAAATTTTGAAATAACAGATGACATGAATACGAGGGTGAATAGCACAATGCAAAGAGCAATCCTGGTAACGTAAAAGCATGCATTCCAGCAGGCTAATTCCGAACCCGACACATTATCTTCTGATGAAACTTGAAATACATCCCACATTTTGGCTGTCGATCTGAAAAAGTAAAGCGTATCTTAAAGTATGTAAATATCTTATCAAAGTTTTATTGTTTGAGAGATAAGAATTGTCAAGTAAGTAGTATTCTTAAAACTGAACACGACTAGTAAATATCCATACGCCATATAAGTTTTCCTTACTCGTGTACACTGGTGTATATAAAGCCTTCGCATTCGTTACATCTGATATTTTTTGGCTGATTGCTACGGCGTTAGCACATTACCGTATAAGTGGAATTTTTAGCGAGATGCAAATCCTTAAAAATCGGTATATATTTTTGCTGAAAGGTAATTTCTGCGATTTCATAATGCCAACAAGAGAAGCTATTAGAATCGCTACGCAATTACTTGTTAGCAATATTCAATTTTATCGATCTCAATACATTCGCTTATAATACCAAAATTGAATCCTCGCTAAAAATTCTGCTTATACAGTATATTTTACGTTGTCCTTTTTGTTTACGTTTTATTTCATTGCATTTGTGTTTAACCCACTTTGTAATTCCTTGGCCTGTGCAAATGATACCAAATATCATTGGTAACTTTTTTCCCCGACGTGGCAGAGGCAAACAGGTCATTTTGGCCGCGCCGAACTCTATCAGAATGACAATGAAGGAGACGTCCGTTTATGTAAAATCTATGAGGGAAAGTACATTGACCTTGAAAATGGGCATAGGCTTATATAGGGACTGGAGAAGTTCGAACTAGAGGAGAAAAATATGGCTGACAAAGATAATTCTCTTCCTTTTACGAATCATGTTCAACTTTAAACAAAGAAAGTTATATCTTATTTTAAGCATTCAACTCATCTGAGTGCTTTACAAGCAAGCACATGTTGAATTGTCTATGTAATTTTTTATTTAAACAACCTGTGCGAAAACTGGGAATTCTGGACTGAAAAATCCTCTGGTAGTGGTGTTCTTTGAATGGGAATGTTCTCTGCTTTCTGATTCTCATAATGCTCGTCGTATTTCTCATCAGATGTTTCACTTTCTGTAGAGTGTGGAAATGATTCTATGGAGTCACAAGAATCGTCTTCATAAGCTGGGTTCCGATGTGCACCAACATCCATTTCATTACCCAGTGAAGTGAGAGATCTAGAGATACCCCTTTCTGACATTCTGAGTCCTGATCCCTGACGATATGGAGCAAAATCCATCTAAATCATGTAAGAAAAATTAAAACATCATACTTGATTTTTTATATACTGTATACATGGTTATATCGCCCTTTCAAAATGGCAAGCAATTTTTGCTGGGTTTACAATTTGCCTAGGAAGTTGTTCTTAAGAGATAGTGCTGTCTTCTTTGCATTTGTCCCATTTTAATTTCGTCTACTTGCAACCAGGATGAAAGTGTCGAAAATAAATCGGGAACGAAACTTTCCCTGTACACACTTCAATACATGTATGAAATAAAAGCATGTACACACTCAAGCTCCAGACAGCTCAGTATTACGTTATGCTACAACTGCTGCCTGCTATATTTTTGTTATGTATTAGGTATTTTCATCTATTCAGGGTAGGCTGGGGCCACAAATTAGAGTGCAAGGTTTTTAATGGGAAAAATAGGAACTTATTAAAATTTCTCTACCAAGAACAACCATGATTAGTTATATGAATTAACAGGTAGCAAAGATTCAAATTAGCAAATCATGCCCTGAAGCCACAATAGGAGATTAAAGTTCAAAATGGGAATACATGTGGAAAAATATATTTTTAAAAATCTTTTCAAGAAGAGCAAGGCCATGATCAGTCATATTTTATACAAGCATCTTCATATCGTACATGTATACATTCAAATTTGTTCAAATTAATTTAATATGGGATCAATGTATTTCATGGGAATATATGGGGAATTAACACTTTTTAAATCTTGTTTTCAAAGACAACAGAACCATGATTAGTCGTATATATTGAAATGCTTCTACAGATAGGAAGAAATATAGAGATAACGATTAGTAATCAAGCTCAAACATCCATTGGAATAAACAAAAAAATCGGGAGCAGAGCAAACACGGACCTCTAAACCATCAGAGGAAGATATTAATACACAAGCATTCTCAGGTAGTGTAGATTAATTTTTGCTCAAATCATGGACCTAAGTGGGGGTGGGGGAGGGTTTTGCATGTAAAAAATAAGGAAATAATATGGAAAATTTGAGAAAAGAAATTCAAGAGTAAATGGACCACACTTATTCATTTTGATATGCAAATATTTTTTTTCAATTTTTATCAATGCCGCATGTGAAAGACACGTGTAGTATATATGGCACAATAAGATAACCTTTAATATGTGTTTTGCACAATTATGTACAAAGTTTCCTGTGATAACAAAATCTTTCAAAATCATATCTCGGGGGGGGGGGGGGGGATGGAGAAGGCAAGCTGCATAATCAGAGACCTCCCCTCAAATCAATCATGAAGAAACTATGATACCAGTGGGAGAGAACCTGCTTACTTGCTTTTGATATATATATATATATATATATATATATATATATATATATATATATATATATATATATATATATATATATATATATATATATATATATACTTGGCGGCTATATCAATAATAGGGACGAGAAGATGAATGAAGTTGTTGACTTTTTCATTTCAAAGTTTTCTCACCGTGAGTTTGGAAAACTTCATCAAAAAACATAAGGCCATAAATCAATAAGAAAGTTGGAATATCAGAATACTTTATTTGCAATATGTTGTAGATGACTTTTTTCAATAAATAAGTGATTATATATTGTACCCGGAATTTTTCTATGTCGGTATTTTGTATTATTATTTCTGTAATGATTATCGATCTCAGTAATTAGTAAGCGGTACTTATAGATATTTTCATAATTTCAATTTATCTAAAAATATTCTATTTTTCCCTTTTCTTCCTTAAGTCTTCCAACTCCTTGCTGCTGATGACTAGTACGTGTTACATGACATCAAGCCATACTTCAGAGGTCAGATCAAATAGTGATGATTTAAGCTGAAAAATGTCATTCCTAAGCGTTTTTCAAGAGTGCTTTCACCATATATATTTGGAAAAAAAAATCATATTTTGGTCCAAGTATGTTTTTGTCGTCTTTTGCTTAAGGAGGTTCGATCCTGAGCTTTTGAACAGATTTTGGTCTAGACCTTTATTTCTAAAATTCTGCATCACTTATAAGTTCTAACATTAAATCTGGATTCTACAATGTAAATTAAACTATATCCAAAGAAAAACCGCGTTTAATTCCATTCAAATAGGATTAAGCCAAGAACTATATTTTGTGGCGGAAGGTAGAAAATGATCAATTTTTCCCTTTTGAAATATATACAGTACTGTAAAGTTTAGATTCCTATTTTTCCATGCTGGTTGCAAACAGAGCTGGTTTTTGCAGTGAAATGTTTTATGCTGGTTCTGAAATATCTATTAAATTATTTCTTATGAATTCTTTCATTATATTGTGACAAATATAGTAAATATATTCTGAAAGTCCAGGAAAAAATTGAGCCAATTTTAACGTAAAATTAACACTTTTTTAGTAATATCTAAAAATTTAGATCATAGTCCCCCACTTTTGTTTTTCTTTTCTGAATATATAAGATAACTTTGATCAATCTGCTTAAATTCAGCAAAAGTTTAAGACTTTTAAATGATGTTCTTGATGGTTAAATTTTTAATGCCAGAAAAATCACATTTTGTGAGTGCAGAAAGGTCAGATAATTGATTTTGCGAAGCAATTTGAAACTTTTTCTTAGTTACAACTTTAATGTGTCTTTTTTTAAATAGACTAATATTTTATTTTGTCCCATGATTTATTTGGATAAAAACTTTGGAGGGAAAATGTCGAAAATGTGATTTTTTATTAAGACACAAATTTCAGTGCAAAAAGGTCATATTAAATATACTGTAGCGCCAAAAGAAGCATACTGACCCTCATTTTTTGTTTCGATTTTTAATTAAGCTATGGGTGTAGAAACTAAAAATATACTTCCCCAAAAAAGTTTAAGACTTTAAATATCAGGATCCAACCTCGTTAAAGTAGCTCTTTGAATTTGCAGAAAGTTTTGAATATTTACAAAACATATAGAGAATACCAAACAACCATATAATAAAACAGGCAAACGTTAATAAGAAATATTTATGAGAATCTATAGGTGCCGGATTAGAAGATATTTTAGACCACACTAGTGTAAGAGTATACCTTCATGGAATGTTTAGAGAAATCAGTTAAGTCATAAACTGTACTACCATAAAAATGAAAGTTTGTCCAAATTTAAAATGTTATAAAAATGTTGATTTAGCGATGTCATTATGTATAAAGATTGATTACATACCTTTATTTTTCGGACTGTTCGCACGGTCCTCAGATTATCACAGTCTGCTCAGCTATGATAAATGATAAAACTGATAGAGAACAAGGATCGGAGCTTTATTTTTATGATTACGAAGAAATGATGTGCCCTAATTACTAACCATATCATAGTGACCTATATTACTGTCCGATAATGTCCAGATTATAATATTTCTTCCTTGTTAAGTTGCTACAGTAAATCCCCATTTAATTACCTGAGTTAAACTATTATCAGTAAAGCCTTCATGGGATTATCTTCTTTAAACAAAAATATTTGCCACAAGTCAATCAAACAGGGATAAATGAAAAATGATGTACATGTATAATTACATATAATTATATAATAATTCTGATATTGAGCTTAAGAACTTTGTACTGCGCCCCAAAATGCATGATCGACCTTACTGAATCCGACTAAATACATTTCAGCAAAAATGGTAGATCAGGCCATATTTAAAATAATGCTTGCTTGCCCTCTCCCGACACAGGGTAAAAGAAATGGGTAGGTAGGTAGGTGGGAAAATCTTTTTTTCAGAAAGTTTCAACATATATATTGACGAATGGGAAAATTCAGGATTAAAACAAAAAAAAAATATTGCAAATCCTGGAGGTTGAAAAAAAGTTTTGAGTCGGGCCATTTTAAGTCAGTCGGTTGGTAGAGGGCAACCAAACAATTTTTTAAAGTTGGCCTAATATTTTTTATAATTGACATGGGTTGCTTGATTTTTGATGATGTTTATTATTGTTACTGATACTAGGGAAATTCATGAAAAAATTGTCAATTTCATTTCACAGCGTTTCTTGAAGTTTCATTTCTGGTTGATTTGTTAGGGATTCTTTCAGTCATCTATGACGTATTCCTCCCTTACCCAGGCTTGGCTTCAGAATTTACACCAAGACCTTCCCTTGGGCACTAACAAGTTTGACCCTTTGACCTTGATCTCATTTACCTACTTGTGAAAAACTTTAACCTTGGTCATATATTTTTCACGGTTGGTACTAGGGCTTTCATATTACCTTGTGGTAAGACTTTTTCATAGGCACCGTTACATGTACTTTTGAACTTTCGATTTACTTCAGAGTTTGGCCTACTTTTGAAAAATTATAACTTTGGCAATAACTTTTTAACGGTGGGTGCTTTCATATTTCACTTGTACATTTCTTGTGGCAAGACCTTCCCTTTGGTACCAACAGTTTTGAACTTTTATCCTTGACCTTGGAGTTTCGTTTAAAGTCATCATTTCGTAAGTTCTATGGTCGATACAATGACCTTGTCAGCAAATACAATCTCTCATAGAGTCAAATGCTGACTGACGTTTTTCATAATAATTGTAAGGCCATTATTTACACACAGAATTGTCGACGGATTTTTCCGTTATTTCCCGATCATGAAAAGGAGCACACGGCGGATATGACCGGTCGGCAGGGGATGCTCAATCCTCCATGGCACCTGATCCCACCTCTGATGTTTTAGAGGTCCGCTCCTGATTTATATTGTTTAATGGACTTTTGAGCTTGAATACTGTTCATTATCTCCATATATATATATATATATATATATATATATATATATATATATATATATATATATATATATATATATATATATATATATATATACATGCACTTTTATAAAGATACCCACTTCCGCCCCAACCCGAGGTTGATCATGAACTTTCTTCTAGCAGTACAGGAACAGCGCGCTAGACCACTCGACCATCTAGGCAAGTCTAAAAAAGAAATCGCAGCGCCGCCCTACACTACATGGTCATGAATGGAAGTGAGATAAAGTTATTTGGATATTAGTTTTGGATATAAGTATTATATATATATATATAGAGAGAGAGAGAGAGAGAGAGAGAGAGTTATTATTTAGATGATGTACTATGCCGAAATGGTAGAAAGGATGCATTAGCCATTAAATAAATTTTATAATTATTATGCTGACTGTTGAATGTATACGACTATTTGATTAAATTCAGAATCCCAAACCTGTCTTCTGTCTTCTTGTACATTTTTAAATCAAGTGTTATATCAAAAAGCGTTTTAATGACTCCTAAGTACCAGTTCATGTTGTGTTGCAATTTTGGTTTGGCCTATTGATTAATTGGAATATGATTTTCATTTATTTCTTGTTTTGTGTCAAATTTTTGAAAACTACGTTTATGCACTTGAAAATACATTCCTCAATGCAGGAGTGTTTGTGGTGTACTGGTAAAAGTATCATGCATGTAATTCATACACGGTACCAAATTGTGCACCAGATGCGCATTTCGACAAAATATTTCTCTTCTGTGATGCTCAAGCCGAAACGTTGGAAATCCTAAATATTTAAATAAAAAAGACTTGGAAGAGCTGAAAAAGATGCCTAAAACTGGAGCCAAATACCTCGAAGGATCAGAGCTATGCATGAGGGAGATAATCCTTATTTTTTAAATAAATTTCTAAATATTACCACAGTATTTTAATAAATATATCCGTATTTTTAAGCTAGTACCGAAGTACTAGGTTACTGGGCTGTAGAGACCCTCGGGGACTAACAGTCCACCAGCAGAGGCCTCGACCCAGGGGTCATAATGTAAATCATACACGGTACCAATTTTGATGCACCAGATGCGCATTTCGACAAATTATGTCCATAAAAATGGAAGGAATCGTAAAGTTTCTTTTAGAGATGTATATGACGATTCCTTTTCCGATCCCATGTGTTCTATTTCCAAATGTTCTGTCAAAAACTGTAAAATCTGTGATATTTTGATTGCTAGTTCTTTGTTTACTTGTAATCTTACTGGACAGAGATTCTATACCAAAGCTTAGGAAAATATGAATTTCAAATCTTCTAATGTTGTCTAAATAATAGAATGTACCCTTCGTGGGCTTATTTGTGTCGTGAAACCAAGGGTTAACTTAGTAAAAGAATATCGGAGCATAGTTTTAAAATTAACAACAGGGGCCAGCAGCTTCTATACAAGCATTTGATTTACCTGATCATTCAATTTCGTCAATGAAAGTAAGAACACTAGAAAAGATTTACCATCATACTAACAGCCCATCACTGTGTAAACCTTTCCGTAGACAACGAGAGTGATTAGAAAACTAGGCACGGCCTTTCCATATGGTAGCAATGACAATGTCGATAGTGTTGGGAATCTTTCAAGCCCACAGTGTGAATGTGATGGGACCAGTATACAGGCTTGGATTTGAGATACGTTTAGCGGAAAAAATACCGCTCAAACAACCCGTTTGTTCCTTAAACTTCAATATACCAACAAAGGAATTGTCGCAGTTAATATGAGTATTATTCTTAATAACAAAAAGGTCCAGTATTGCATTCTGCCATATTTCAAGTTGAAGTCCACACCATGTATATTTTACAAATAAACATCGACAATTGCTTCCAAACTTTATTTTAAAAAAACGTTACAGTGTATAGATATAGAGCATCTGAAACATAATCCTCCAGCGTGTTCATGTTCTCTTCACCCTACAACTATAGTCCTGCTGGACACGTCATTACTAAATATAGTCAATAATAAGGACATTAAATCACTTATTATAAGAGGGCCAACGTTTAGGGAACCCTGATCTTTCAACTGGCGTCTTAATTTCATAAATATTATGAATTCAGTAGAAGATTAAGCCAGAGGATGGACCAAATATGGAAAAGAAGACCTTGATACCTTGTCAGAATGGATTAAATTATCAGATGGATGTTGAAATCGCGAATTAAGCGATTGAGGAGCAATATGAAAACCATCTATCCTTCTTGTGAAATAAGAATTAGATAGAGTACACGATCAGTATGTACTGGTGCCCGCTGACAACATTGTCTTTGTCGACGAATTTTTCCGTTATTTTCCGATCATGCCAAGGAGCCCACGTCTGGTGTGACCGGTCGACAGGGGATACTTACTCCTCCATGGCACCTGATCCCACCTCTGATGTTTTAGAGGTCCGTGTTTGCTCTGCTCCAAAATTTGTAATGTTTGATGAACTTTTGAGCTTGAATACTGTTCGTTATTTCAATGCATTTCATTTGTAAGGCTTATTATTTGAATTGTATTTTAGAAGAACTAGGATTTAATTTTGCAAGTGGTAATCCAACTTATATCCATAAATCCCTTTCCAAGGATTCGAACACACGGCCTTCCGATCACGGAGCGAGTGTCTACCGACTGAGCTACCTTGACGGTCTCACAGTATGAAATATAGCAGATAGTTACAGGAACGGCTGTTCATTATGCGTGAACGATAGGCACAGTATTTATATAATCAGTGTTGTAACTGCTTAAAATTTTAAAGTAACATTCAAGTTCAATATTTACATGAAAATAATTCCTTTACTTTTGCATCCTCCCTGGGTCAAGGCTTGACCTCTATACCTCTAAGAGTCAAGGTTTTTTTTACTTTGAACTTTGAACCTTGATTTGAATGTCTGATGATTATGTGATTTTTGCATTGTTGTATGAGGGCCTGATCTCTGTGTTCACGGTCCATCAATTGCTTTGCCAGAGACACTTAATTCATTGGTAATCACTCATCTATTCATTTGTGATGCAACAATAAAATTCTTTGAACATATTCTTTGTGATCTGAGATAATACATTTTATTGTTTATATGTTATCATTACATGCAAAGTTATCTCTGCTAAATTTCAAAACTGTGTAACAGTGTCTACGATAAAAGGGAACCATAGCAGCAAAGGCCAAACACGGGTCAACTCTTGTAAAAATTCTACATCATTAGTATTTCTTGAAAAGCATGAAAACTCATGTCCTTTAAATTTGCTAATAATATGACAACTAATATGATATATTAGTATTCAATTTAAAATTGTATTACATTTGTATTTCAAGTACAGTACCACATTTCCAGTTTCAAATCGATGAATATCGAAAGAGATCAAAAGACCAATTAACCTTAGTAATCCATGAATTGTTCTAACCTGAATTTGAAAATGTTATTGATGATTAATGTGCAATTTTGCACATTTATTTTTGATGTACAACAATAGTAGACAAATTGCTCAAATTGTGCATTTCACAAAGTTCTAATACACAGATTACTTTACAAATTAATTTTACAATTTGATGAACCCAGGCTCATTACAATGTAGAGCATTTTGTATCCTGTTAACCTAAATATCTTCTTTTTTTTTTTTGAAGCTTTAATAAACATAGGCCATCCATGATAATGAATTCATTATTTAAAATATATAAATAATACATGTAAATTGGTCTTTAACTTAAAACTTAATTTTTAAATCACAATTAGCTTGTTCGCTGGGTATATAAAGCATTTTTTTTAAATCTTTTGGAGGGACGTTTGATCTTGCTTTGGTTTCACAGAGACAGGGCTCTGAGGATTATAAAAAATATTTTGTCAATGCTTCCACTAATAAAATCTTAGTATGTATTAAGTAGTTTCCAATAAATAGCTATTCAACTTCAAAAAGACGGACAAGGTAATATATCCGGAATAAAGATGCATTAATACAAACGACATATGAAATGGTTTAAAATATATATAATATAAAAATGTATAAAATAGCGAAATCAAACATTAATATATATTTTATCTACACCTCACGTCTATATCACAGATTGTATCATATTAAATTATGGCGATTAAAACAATACATCAGCGTTAGCATAGTCTCCTTCTGACTCTGCGTCTCCTTCTGCTGCGTCTCCCGATGGTTGTACAGCATACGCATGCTCAGCGGGCCATTCCGACACATTGTCTACTGATATCCGGGCTTTTCTCTCATTTATGTGTTTCTTTGGCTTTGGTTCTTCTTCTTCGTCTATTTCAGCCATGTATTTCTCTTCTTTTCTCTGTTGCATAGAAAGTTTCTTCTTTCTCTCCAAAGCAGCAGCAGTTTTCATTACTTCTGCAAATCCCACTTTACTGCTATCACCTTCTCCATTTTCTCGTGCTTTTATTCGTTCCTGAAGTCTGACTCTATTTGCTGCAGCGACCCATGCTGACTGGACCTTCTTTTTCTTAAGCAATGATGCTCTTTTTTGTATTTCTTGTTTTTGCTTACTTTGTGCTAGCGTAACAATTGTGAGTAGAGATTTCCTCTGGAATCGGTTTTTAAAAACTTTCTGAACAGCAGCCACTTTATCTTCTGTTAAATCGTCTTGTTCTGATATTCCTCTGGTACTAGATTTATCTTGTTCTTGCATTGCTAGATTTAGCTTTGCAAAATTTTTCGCAAAATTACGAGATAGTGTTTTTCCATTAGTTGCTTTTCTTTGTCGCTGGCCGATTTTTTTCCAGAGTTCTCTGCCCCTTGAGGGACCGGTTGTTTCTAGATCATCACTTACTGTTGTCTCTTGAGACATTAGAGACATTGTGTCAGAATTATCCTGGGCCTGCATCTCCTTAACAAGCTGAAGACCTTCTTCCACCCCAATTTCCTTAGGCCCTTTGTCACTTCTACGCATTGTATCAATTAATTTTCTTTTTAGGCGGATCTCTGTGGAGGCTGCTATGTGTATGAACGTAGAAAACCGGTGGAAAAGCATGCAAACAAACTGAAGTAAAAGCATGATACCAAAAATAGCAGTAAACGCGAATGATATTGGTTCAATATAACCCTGTCCTTGGCGTCCGTTATTCACTTCACAGGGTAGTTTTATTGACAGAGTCTGACTGGTACTGGCGTTGACCTCAGTTAGTACATACACAATAGTCACAAATAAGGCGTTCATCAACAGGAAGGCTAGACATACTTTATTTCTTAGCTCAATTAGATCCCGTTGTACCTAATTTTTAGAATAAATGCTTTGTCACTGACATACTGAATTCATTATAAAAGGACAGTTTGAGTTTTGCGTTACATAAAGAAAACGAATAATATAAAATTATATATCATTTTGGCAATTAAACATATATGAAATTCTGTAAATTAACTAACTTATAATGATAAAAAGAAAAAAAATATTTTCTTACCTGTTTTTCATGCTCTTTGTTTCCTTCTAAGGGTTTGAGATACTGTGGGATAAATTCCTTCCAGAACTGAATCTCTTCTTGAGATAAGAAGCAGGTAGCTCCCTCCTTCAAGGATGCGTCATGTATCCAGTAAGGGTCTTTCAATTCATCACGTTTTTTGTCCTTCTCTTCCACGAATGCTGGGTTTGCTGGAAAAAAAAGCATTTTGAAAATATTTAACCAGTTATGTAAGAAAATCTCAAAAAGAAAATCATAAAATTCTTAATATCTTGCTTCCTTCTACTGATCCTTCAAATGTTCCGAAAATCTCAACATGTCAGTAATAAAATCAAATATCTTACTTCTTTCTACTGCTCCTTCAAATATTCCATTTTGTTTTGAAAATGGAAGAGTTTCTTCTTCCAGCTTTACATTAATTGCTGAACTCGAGTCAATCCGACTGTGTGTTACTTCTGTCATGCGCGATTCAATATCATCTAACCTCTCCAAGATAGCCCTAAACCTCATGTCTTCTGTATGGGAGGCCGATGTGTGAGGACAACACACGCATCTGTTTACAACATCAGTAAAATTTAATAAATGATATTGTAGAGTGTAATGTTTATGATGATGACAACACAAAATCTATATTTAATAAAGGATAATTCAATTAAAAATGATGCGCTTATTGCAATCAAGTAAAAAAATCCATTCATAAATTATTCGAATATATTTATTCGATTCTGGTCACAAAGTTTTACACTTAATGCTTTTGATACAGATTAAATGTAGCCGCTGCAGATATTAGATGACAAACACAATTTGAAATATTTAAAAAGACTTTACCGTAGAAGATTCCCACAAGAGAATGTGTAATCTGATGTTCCAGCATTATCTCCTACTCCTAGCTTGTTCAGCCAGGATTGAACTTTATTTTGCTGTGTCGGTTGGTTTCCCTGCTGGGGCGGAGGAGCAGCTACTTTCGTTTCTCTTGTTCCCCATGATACAACGTGCAAATTTCCGAGGGAATAAATCATCAAAAGCATCGACATTGATGGAATGGACAGAAAATAAAGGAATCCATGTAACACACAGAAAAATTCCTGGAAAGAGAAGGATGAAGATTCTGATCATTATGCCATCGAAATTATACTAGGAACTTTTTCAACGTCAATCATTAGGAATGCATGAAGGTTATAAACAGAGAAACCTTTGTAAATTCTATATTAAGCTCAATTTAAAGATTATTTAGACGTACAGTATATTAAAGAAAGCATTTCTTGTATTATCGAGTTCATATTCTCTTACAAATCAACAAGGTTTATAATATACAGATAAATATTATTTGTGTAGCCTATACTTGCCTGCGGGTGAAGAAGAGCAGAAACTACAAAAACACCAGCAACAAATAGAAGGAACAGCGTGGTTACAGAACAAAGTCCAGCACCTGCCGCCTCTACCAACAGTCCCACCAAAACAACCATCATCAACAGCGAGTAAATAGTAGAGACAATGGCGGCGTATGTCAGCTGAAAAAAAAATTAATGGGTATGATAGAAAATAACTTGAATTCAATAAATTTGTTCTTCAACATCATATGTAATCGACTAAGTTGTTTATTGTTTACAATTGAAATGATTTTAAAGCTGTACCTGAACATTCGATTTAGCAACAAAGCAGAGAATCACCATTCCAATAACTGGGATAATATTGACTGTCATGGCAGCGAAAGGTGGAATGGATGGAAAAGCCATGGTGATAGCGCCAAGTATCATCAGAAAGATTGTTCCCGGTGTCAAAATTGAGCAAACCATAAGAAAGGTTTGATATAAAATGTAAAGCTTTGAAATGTCCTCATTCTTCCTCGTTACATTCTTCCAGTCCATCAAGAGATCAATAATATTAGCCATTGTTGAAGGAGACCATCTTCTGCGTTGATTGTAAAATTCGTTGAAACCTTCTGGTGCATATGTCAGGGCATCGCTGGCGGCTACATACTCCACTTTGTATCCTTGTTGCAAAAGAAGAGTACAGAGCCAACGGTCCTCGCCTGTAAGTGTAAAAATCATCACACAAAGAGAACGATAGAGAGTGAATGATACAAACAATGTACATTTTCATCAGAGTAAATGTCAAATGATCACAGACCTTGGTCATACTGCACATAATGCTGTGGTTCAGTTGGCGGTGTGGTGTATCTTCTCATGACGTTATCATCCATCACAGAGGAACCTCTAAATAGACTAAAACATCCGGGACTGCAGAGTACACAGCCCATTATATTCTCTGCTGCCTTCTGGAGCCAGTGACTTATAGCGTATTCAAACTGTTGATACCACACCATGGGTCCTGGAAATAAATTTGGTTAATTCAATTTGTGAGTAATGGTAGGATATTCTATGTTTAATACAACGTTTTAACATTCAAGGGTGACGCACCTGAGCCAATGGGATGAATTCTACCACATGCTGCTCCAACTTTTGGATTCTTTTTCATTCGATCAACCAGTAACTGAACTGCTTTAGGCTGGAAATCTACATCTCCATCGAGTGCCAGCAAAAATGTGTTTTCTGCAATTACTCTGCGTTGGGCTTTGGATTTCTTTGGGATATTCATTAACTTGTGAGCTAGGAAGTAGTACATATACATAACCTGGAATTCAAATGGAAGATGTGGTCGTATGTTGGGTTTAAACTAAATATAATTGGATATGACTTGGAGTAATAGTGTACCAATAAAATATTACGCAAGTTGCATGAATAAGCGAAAAATAATTATTTGCTAGTATCCTTTGAATATTTCATCACACTTATACCAAGGTAATTAACTATATTCTACCTGGCTCCAGCGCTTTCTGTGACGAATTTTTGCTTTATCTTTAAGGTGTGCAATGATTTTGTTTCCACCGGGAAGCTGCCACTCTAAGCGTCCACCATATGGGGTTGGATATTTTACTGGTGGGGGGATAATCATGACCGTCTTGTGAACAGCACTGGGAATATAATGATTCATAACACTTTAAGTTGAAATATTTACAAACAATATTAATTCTGCGTACCTGAAAGGGTTGGGGGAAAAGTCTGAGAACACCTTCTCCGTAACTGTAAATACTATTAAACGCTTAATATAGGATACACCATATTAACCTCTCTTTTTGTGATAAAATTATAAAATTTCGTGGCATTAATTTGAGTGACTTAAAATCTATAAAGTATAATAAAAATGTATACATAATCCTAAGTTTTGACAATCTTTATGCTAGTATGTACAAGAATGTCAATTGTTGTTTGAAGAATACATGTTCATACCTGGCGGCTATGTCAATGCAATTAACAAGAAGATGGACGAAATCATTGACTTGGTAGATAAAGTCCTCGTCACCATGTGCTTGGAAAGCATCATCAAAGAACACGTGAGCTGTGGATCGATAACAAAGTTGGGATATCAGGGATATTATTTTACTCAAAATGTGTTATAGATGACGATTTACGACATCAGTAATTAAATGATATCCGGAAAGTTTCAGCTTAATTATCGTACTAGCACACGTACTTCTGTTTTTGTTAATGATCATCCTAATAATTAGAGCATAACCCTCTCTACGGATTTTCATTATTTCAATTTATAAAAGCATTTTTATTTCAATGTTTTCAAAATATTTGTCATTGTTTCTTAACCTTCAAATTCGTAGTAATCCGGGTCTTTGATACCAAGAAACATCTGTAAATGACGCCTGGCACATTGGTCCTCATCTTGCCTAAATAATCATACAATGAAATTTAAGTTTTAGAATTTATTTTTCTTAGTAATTTGAACATTGGGTTATAAACTTGAATTCATATATTTAATATCATTTAACTTTACACAGACATAAGTTCAACAAAATTGAACACCACAAGCCATATGTCTGACTACAAATCAATGTCAATTATAAAATACTAGTACTTAAAATACCTAAATATCGATTTCAGAATTTGAATCATCTCCGTCTCTGACTCGTGCCACATAGTCGCACAAAAGTATATCATCGGTGTATCATCTTTTCTCAGAATTGACCAATCGATCTCTTGTTTTTCATCTATATCTTCATTTTCTGGGATAGGAACTTTCTTTTCTGATTCCTATAAATACAGCAAGCTATATAGATAATGCTAAACACTTTAGAAAGGGAGTTGTACGCTTTTTTATAAAAAGGAACTCATACATTATGCTCTTCGGCTCTTTTAAACTCTTCGTCTGTTCGTCTTCTGTTGAGTAATAAGGACTGGTCTAACAAGACTCCATTAAACAAAGGCTGTACAAATAACCTACAATGTAAGGAAACCGGATTTTATCAAAAAGTTAAACTTTCTGAAAAAAAAAAATTCAGTTCAAGTTCTATTCATAAAAATAAGGCACCTATCCGTTGCGATGAGTCTTTCTTTACTTGGTGACCACATGTGGTTTGTGACGAGGAGAAAGGACATATACCCAAGAGCTCCTGCAGCAATAACCACCCAGTAGGTTTCTATTATATCAAACAGAATTGTGGGATCTTTGTTCGTATCAGACCAAACTGGCATGGGTAAAATACATGTTCCAAAGGTTATTGATATTGTTTGCGAGTAGAAACCAAGTATGAACCCTATTACAATAGGGGTTGATAAAACAACGGGCAAGGCAAAACATAATTTCTGTGCCACAATCTTACTTGCAGCTTTGGCAACTTTAAAACATATAATATTTGACAATACGTTTGCCATTGATATCATGAAAGGAAAATAAGAGATGCAGCCTTCTCCAAATGACCTTGTGTCTGTCATGGTTGCATTAACGATGGTTGTAAGATTGGCTCCCCCAGCAGTCCTAAGAAACAAGACATCGATGCATGTATCCCTATCGCTACAGAATCCCCCAAACAATAAGCTAGGCATTACAAGCAATGTCATTATGATTTTCCACAAGTTGACAAGGAAACCAACTTTTACTCTGTGACGTCTCATGTTTAACTTCAATCGCATCAAACCTGAGGAATTCTCATCGGGATCACTAGAATTTTTGCTCTTGGATTTGGCTTGTTTGACATAATTTTCCCACCAGGTTACAGACACCAGTATGGGAGACAAGGCTACTAGGACCATCATAGTAATTGTATGGGAGTCCGTTGATTTATATGCATGGTACACATAATAAGTCCAGAGGCCGATACTAGCCATCTGGAATATAATAGCTAGAGTGTTAATAGCACGAGCAATTCGCAGTCGACTTTCGTCTTTTTCTTCTATTTTCTTCAAGGTTCTTTCTGGATAAATTGTTTTCAGTAGGGCAGGCACCAATGACACGCTTGAGCAAAGAAGAGTTGCAGATATTGGCTCAAAGCTAGGTAGAACCACCAGAACAAATGTGCAGAGTCCTATGGAATGTAGCGTCTCTATACACAGAGCCTATATTGACAAAATATGTTTATGAAATTTATACTTTTCACCAAAAAAAATGTGTGTTTTAAAAAAAATTATTATCTTAAAAACAGAGTTTCAACTTACTGCTAACAAAACTTTGTAATTCAGTTTCCTTGTTTTCTTGAATAGGAGAATCAGGATGTATTTGAATACTATAAACACATATGGCGCTATAATGGCAATGAGGAGACTCCAAATCCAGGTGACTTCCACGCTTGTTAGTTGTCTGTTTTTAAAGTATTTAAGAGTTTTGTCTGGATTTTTAAGTTCTCCATTGGGTGGAAAGATGTTTGTTGTCATCAAAATAAAAGTAAATTTTGATATCACTGACGTCACACAAACAAAAAAGAAAATTAATGCACACAGTACCACTCTGTTGATGACAAAACACGCGTTCCAACAAGCTAATTCAGATCCAGATATATTGTCGTCCGATGCCAAACGGAACACATCCCATTTATAATGTTTCCTGAAAAAAAAGACAGGATATACATGTACTTGTATAATATGACAAAATTTTCATGAATTAATATCATAGTCTTCAGAATCTAAAAACAAGATTAAGTAAAAACAACCGAATCCTCTGGGAGGACTTTTAAATGAAGATTTTTACTGTAGTATTACATACAAAGCCATTTCTACCGTGTCACGGTCTATCATCATTTATTTGAAGAATCTCAAATTGACTTCAGATATTAATTTTTACCGATAGGTATTTTGATATGTTTTGAAACAATCATGAAATTAGTTCTAGAGGGATAGGGGTTAACGATGCTTTTACAAAAGGTTTAAATTTTCATCATAGAGTGCCATATAAAACAAAATTCTAGTACCTTAAACGATAAACATGAAATTTAAAAACAAAAGAAGCATAATGGCAAAACTACCTTCTGTCAACTTTTACCACTGACCCGTTCATCAGCAGGATGTACATAATCGTGTGAGTATCTTTGATATATAATGAAGCTAACAGAAAATCATATATACGGTCCTGTATAATGAAGCTAAAGGAAATCATACGTACGGTCCTGTATAATGAAGCTAAAGGAAATCATACGTACGGTCCTGTATAATGAAGCTAACAGAAAATCATACGGTCCTGTATAATGAAGCTAAAGGAAATCATTCGTACGGTCCTGTATAATGAAGCTAAAGGAAATCATACGTACGGTCCTGTATAATGAAGCTAACAGAAAATCATACGGTCCTGTATAATGAAGCTAAAGGAAATCATACGTACGGTCCTGTGTCTTTCACTTCTCTGTCAACATCATCGTGTGATTCCCTGGACTTGTAACTAGGTGGATCATCATCAAAAACTTCATCCTCCTCGATGGAATGCTCGTGGCTTGATGACGCGGTAGATTCCTCGTCTTCCGTGTACGCAGGGTTTGACAGCCCTCCATCAGTGTTCTGCATTGTATTCATAGGGATTGGGGCACCGTCTTCTTCTTCGTCCGGAAAAGTCAGGCCTCCCGGGTTAAAAAACTTTCTAGAGGGGTTAAGCTGTTTACACATTTAAGAAAAAATAAATATATTAAATATTTGTGTTATTTTGAAATGCATTTATTTTGAATTTTTTTTTAAATGCAGTAAAAATATATAATAAGAACGATGCAAGGAAATACCTTAGTCTGTAGTGCTACAGCCCTTAACAACCTTTTGAAAAGCTGTCAATTATTGTATCTCTACATTTAAACCCAATTGTGACTTCCAACATGTGACTACCCTAACAAATAACTAAATGTGGTAAAGTATAGGTTACTGTAATTAAATAACTTGATTTACTATTACTTTTATACTTCATAAATGGACGTTTGATTTACTATGAAAATTTACACTAAAGTTGTTTTTTGAGATTATGAACACTAATATCTCTTGAATTTCAGGTGATGTCAATCTGAAAAATTATATTTGAATATACAATTATACTTTTTTCTTTTCATATCAAAAAAAGTCATACTTTGATTTACAATAAAAATAACTTTGGTTTAATAGATAGTTTACTATGGTCTAATATGTCTAGAATGTTTGTTATTTAAAATATCATGCAAGTACATGTAGCTAGTTAAACAACTTAATTCAACTTTCCCTCAAGACTGATTTCTGATCGAGACGTGTCTGTGTTTTATGAGAGTAATTTAACCATCTTATCATTTTGGGACTTTGAGCAGGGACTGTAATATCAATTTCTGAGGGCCATAAAATCATTATTTTTACAAATACTTCAAGTCCTTTTCTTCGGCCATTATTTTGGCATCAGTGTCTGACGAAGCTTTTATATTAAATGTTTTAACTTTATCATCTAATTACTAAATTTAAATTGAGGAACTAAAATTCAGTATCATATATACATATATATATATATATATATATATATATATATATATATATATATATATATATATATATATATATGTATATATAAAATGTATTTTGCATTTGAAAGAAAAAAATCAAAAGTCTAGGTTTTTTTACCTTCTAATAAGCAGAAGAAAGAAAATGTTCTCTAAAAAAGCTCTAATTCACTTTAAATATTTTTAATCAAAACCTCGATACAAGCTCAAATTAGCTTGATATATGTATATTAGTGAGAAGTCTTACCTTAGTCGAATATTTTAACATTTCACAGTCATGTGATCACGTTTATTTCAAAGCAAAATAAATACTGTTTGGTCGAGGACATTTCTTCCTTCTTACAGATAGACTGTGAATATATTTGACATTTGATGCTCTATGTGTATGTGTGCCTGTTTGTAGACCTTATGTACTACTGCCCCTACACGATAGAATGACATATTTATAACTTTCAAACAACCTCCTACCCTTTATGTAAACTATGCGCAGATTTATTGGTTACTTTATAAGATATAGCACATAATATCCGTAATCATGAGGTAGAAATAAAACTTAAGGCATACCCTACAGGCATGGGGGAAATAGGGGATCCTTCATCCATAAGTTTCATATCAAAAATTCAGTATCATTTTTTAATAAATAATATTAATTGGTACCTAAAGGAGAACGGACATGATATTCAATATCCAAACTTTCAATGAAATCTTGTATTAAAAGACATTAAATAACGGTCATCAAAGTCTTAGTTGTTCTAGTTTATCTTTAAAATTAACACGTTTTAAAGTTTTGTTCGTTGATGTCAACACAGATATACATGTACATGCATTGTAGATGTAATATATTCAATCCTAAAAACTTTAATGCAGTTTATTCCTTGAACTGCTTAAAGTTCTTGGTTTTCAGAAAGGGTTTTGTTGATTTGCTTGAGCAACTTATCCGCAAGAAAAGGTGGAATTCTGGGGAAAATAATTTTATAACAGGTACACATTCATATATACCACCAAAAGAGAAATAAAATAAAAATACTGTTTAATTTTTAATAAAACTTTTGCATTTTGCTCTATTAATTTTCAGCATCAAAGATGCCAAAGGTCTTATTGTTATTGAAAGGTATATTGATAATCTGTCGCCTGTTTTTTAAGATATCATCATTGTACAATATTGATATCATTATATCAGACAGTTACAGGTAAATTTCAGTTGTGAGCAAAGGAATGTCACAGCAATTGATTATTCATAATTCTTATCAGTTTTTCTAAGAATTCGAGATCTTTCACGAAATCAGATATGAGGAAAAATATATGAACATGTAAATACGAATTAAGAATAATTTTTAAACAATAGCAAAACTCACTTAATCTAATCGTTTCTGTAAATATACATGTATTCAAAGATTTAAAGTAGTAGATTCAATGTACAAAGCATTAACCCTTTAACTACCAGAGATTTTGCATTTTTTCTGCAAAACTGCCTAAAAATTTCAAATTGAAATTTTAACATTTTCTAGTCACTTTTACATAAAGCAAACTATACGTTTTCTGAAAGGTAAAATCTTAAAGTATTTAATTATGCAGGGTAAAATGACGTCGTGGTTGCCATGGCAACGAATGAGACCCATAATTGCCCAAATATGTGTTTTCCCCCCTTTTACAGCACAGAAATACAAACAAAATTTAAAATAATGTTTCCATAACAGAGGATTTAGTGATACTATTAAAACAAAGCATTCAAACAATTAGTTTCTAGTTATACTGGTCAATTTTATTTGATGGAAAGAGTTTATACAATTACACAATGTCCGTGTATTAGACTTTGGCTTTATACAGCTGTCTGATTGTCGTAATTATAAGTAATTTACAAATCGCTTTCCCCCCTAAAGTTTTTACCTCACTTCAATAAAATTTGATACACTTTTAGAATGTACTAAGATACACAATTCTTTATTTTAGTTTTTTTTTATTTCAATGAACAGTGTTGCCATGGTTACAAAATAGCAATTTTGAGAACGGGACTTCCTAATAAAACACGGGTATACTATATTCAGCAATTTTCAAATAGCTTTCCCTCCTACAGTTTTTGCCTGACTTCAATAAAATTTGGTACACATGTAAAGAACACTAAGATACAAAATTCCGTATTAAGTATTTTCATTTCAATGAACAGTGTTGTCATGGTTACAAAAATAGCAATTTTGAGAAGGGAACTTCCTAACAAAACATGGGTATACTATATTCAACGCCATTGTACACATTAAAATTACAAATATCAACGGTACAAAAATTAACATATATTAAACGTTGGTCGAAGGGAGAGGAGGAGGGATATAGCTGAACATTGTCTCTGATTCGTTTGTTAAGTGTTGATTTGACGTCCGCGGAATCATGCGAGAAAATATTTCGCCTTAAATACCCGATTTTTTTTCTTTTTGGAAAACCCATGTGTTCTAGAAGAAACAATATTAATGCCCAATCGTTTTTGACATCAAATGGTCCCCTATTTACTTTATGTAGAGTTTTATCACTGAATAAAAATCCTTGCCTTGTTCCAGAGACCTGCATCTGAGAATTCACAACACCCTGATATGTACTCGAACATACAATATCACTAGATCATCATTAAGTTTTAAAAGAAGGCCATGGGGAGAGTATGGCAAAGAACTACGCACACTTACTCTGATTCCAGCCTATGTTTTACACCCCTTTATTCAATGAAAATGACAATTTTGCCATTAATTTTTATTATATTGCAAATAAGAGTTCACTAGTGATTGAATTATATTACTGTCATATTGTAATTTTTGAATTTACCTGGTGGAAGTAAATACAAAATTACAATATTACAACTTGTCATATTGTAATTTTTAGCTCACCTGAGCTGAAGACTCAAGTGAGCTTTTCTGATCAAAGAGTGTCCGGCGTCCATCTGTTGTCTGTAGTCCGTAAACTTTTCACATGTTCGCCTTTTTCTCAAGAACCACTGGGCCAATTTCAACCAAACTTGCCACAAAGCATCCTTGAGTGCATTTAAGTTTGTTCACAGGAAGTGTGAGATAATTAAGAATTCGTGAAAATTTGGTGGCTTCTTTTAAGTATCTCCTTCTCAAGAACAACTGGGCAAGAAAAGATGAAACTTGTGTGAAAGCTTCATGACATACTGTAGATTCAAATTTGTTCATATCATGCCCCCCCGGGGGTAGGGCAGGGCCGCAAGAGGGGGTCAAAGTTTTACATAGGAATAAATAGGAAATGTCTTTAAAAATCTTCTTCTGTAGAACAACAAAGTCATGATTAGTCATATTATAATAGAAGTATCCTCAGGTAGTGTAGATTTAAGTTTGTTCCAATCATTACCCCTGGGAGTAGGGCAGGGCCACAAGAGGAGGTCAAAGTTCACGATAGGAATATATTGGAAATATATTTAAAAATCTTCTTCTCAAGAACAGCTAAGCCATTATTCGTTAGATTGATATAGAAGTATCCTCAGGTAGTGTAGATTTAAGTTTGTGCAAATCAAGACCCCCATGGGCAGGGCCACAACTGTGGGTCAGAGTTTTTCATAGAAATATATAGGTGTAATGGTTAAGGGGCATTCAAGTAAAATGCATTGAAGACCTGGAATAATGGAATGACCTGGAAACCCTTGGAATGGACTAGCCAAACCAAAGAGTATATAAGCCAAAGCTTCAAGAAAGTCAGGCATTCAGAAGCTAGCAGAAGTTGGATGCTGAATCAGCAATAAAGAAGTTAAGGTATTCCATCCCTAATATCAACAGATTCAATGAAATTGAATACACGACAGATATGTAGGTGCTTAATACTCAGTATATTTAGACATAATTCCCATTTTTTACTATTAGCATGTACGTAAGGGCGGGATGTGTCCTAATTTATGACCTTGAATTTTGGTAGGGGTTATCTCCATCTGTTTTTATTTGAAAAATTCAATTATAAAGAAAAAATTTATCTGGTAAAAAAATCTTTTTCAATTGTCAATCTATTTCTAATGTTTTATGCATCTTTCCACCACAGTATTTATTAATATTCTTTTTATTTGAATATTTATTTTTAAAAGAAAAATTGCTTGTCCCCTTAGACTTCAATGCAATCTTTGTTAATTAATTACTGCTTAGTTGATAACATTTTTGAAACGTTCTCTTGATA